CCCCCCCCCCCCCCCCCCCCCCCCCCGCCCTTCCCCCGCTTCTTTCTCTCCCCTCCTCCGAGTCGCACACACTTCTGTGTCTGGAAGATTTCATTACGAAAAGAAGTGCATTGCTGCTGTCAGGACAGTTCAAAGTGTAAGTTGAGTGCGTATGTCTCTGAGATAACACGCCCACACGTCCTACACAAAGCTGATCTCTTAATCCGCCACTTTTGCAGTGTGCTGGCCTTATCCTCTCGGATAACCTCTCGTGCGGTCGTTTTCTCCACTGTCGTGCCCCTCACTGATGTGGGGTGTTTGCCAGTTATCCTAGAATGAGAACTGGATATATTTTCTTAACGGACACGGTGGCGCCATCCACATTTCTTAGCATGCGTAGTGTCTAACGGCGAAACATTTTAGGCAGCTTCTGTTCTAGCCGTTTCAGTGTTTGCGCTTCTGCTTCCGTCACTGCATAGTTTTCATGCAGTCGTACGTCAGGACATTTAATTGGGTGATTATGAGCAGCCAATTTAATTGGGTGATTATGAGCAGGTATTGCCGGTTCACTGTAGTATACATGTTCTCAGTTATGGAACAATCACAATCTTGATAAAGCTGTGGCTCAGTCGCAGTCATTCATAAACGAATGCAGACGTGCACTTGGGCTTTCAATGAAGTTTTGGGTGGCCGAAATCCACGAAATTGTTAAAAACACCATTCTGCATTATTCAGAAATCCGTGCAAAATGTGGAGAACTGAATGATGCACTGAAGCAGGTAAAACTGACGCCTTTATTTTACATATTTCCACAAGGTTTTCTTGATTATTTCCTTTAAACTGAAGAAAGATGGACCGGAAAATTTAAATTTTACAAGAAAGTGCTATTAATGAAAAATTATTTTAAACTCTGAATTTCTCCGATGACGATTTGAATTTTTTCAAGTTGACGCTTTTTGATTTTTAGTTGGATTTGACGGCGACACCGCACAAAATTCGTTCTACACCAAGCAAGCGTCGCAGCTTTATTGATATGCTCGAATTACGCGACAAATTACTGCTGAGGCATTCTGACAGAAATAAAAATGGAAGCAATATATCTGTTGCCAGGTTGATTTTAGTGTAAAATTTATGTTTTTTCAATTATTTAATTAGATTTTTATCCAGTTTTTGCGCATTTTTGCGGTACAGCACTATTGCGCTGCAACAGTGCAATGAGTTCGTCATGCACTGCAGATGAAACTGTTGATCCTCAAGAAACGGTTAATAAAAAAAAAAGGATAAAAGGAAAGAAGGAAAAAAGGAGAAAACCCAGGCTGGAACGCACCAGGCGAGCCGGTGCGATCATGCGTTTTTGCATCAAACTTTGAGGTACTCCATCACAAGTTCCCTGTCCTTGCCTCACCCCTTCACTCGCTGCTCTCGCCTCTCCCCCTTCCCCCGCACCCGA